TGCCATTCCACAAACTGCATTGCCAAGTGAAGCTGCACCAGTGTATCCAGCATCATCCAAACTGTCAGTACTTAAACCAGTTGAATCACCATGGAATGCCAGCAACCACTCTACAATGTCCTTAATCTGCGCTTCAGTTGGAGTCACACCAAGTGGGTAGTACTTCCCTTGGTAATACAATGCTGCTCCATCACACTTCACCAAATCCATAATACTAGGACTCTGAGTAACAATCCCGGACGGGGAATCTCTCAACAGCATGTCACAAAGAAGAGTTTGAGTCTTCAAAACACGTTTCTCTGATAATTGAGAAGCCAACTGCATCTCCATGTTCAATTGAAGACCAAAAGCTTGCATAAGAAACTCGCAAGCATAACGAAGTGGAAAAGGTATGCACCTAGCTGAAGTGTGGTGACAGACCACCAATCCCCAGAGTTTCATTGCGTTCCTCCCTCCGCCATCTTCATCACTACTATTGATGATCACAGCCATGGCTAACGAAGCAATGGAACCCATGTTTGCCATGTACTGAGCATGGCAACCATGTGGAGCTCGGAGAGTTGAACCAACCAAGCACAATGGCTGCATCAGCCCTTCATCCTGAAACACATGGACTGGGGAAGCATGACAATCGACTATCATCCTAACCCTATTCTGCCTGAACAAGAATCGGGAAGCTTGAGGGATATCAGTGGCAGGGTAGTGCAAACCGATGTAAGGCTCCAAATCGGCTCTTTTGTTCTCCGCCACTACTTCTCCATGCTCATCCTCGTGGAACTTGTAGACCATGACTCTGTCGTAACCTGTGAGATCCCGAACGCACTCAACCACAGTATCGCACAAGAGCTTGATATCGCCTCCGGGAAGAGATTGCAATTGGGAGATCGCTCGAACAGCTAGCTTCTGCGATTGTACGGCACCGGCGATGGAAAGCGCCGGATCTTCAGTTCTCGCAGGCTCCAAATCGATCACGATTCCCACATCGATTCGATGGAGAATCGCGTAGAACGGCTTTCCCGAGTTCTTGGAGTGGATCCAGAGAGGGTTTAGCAGCGTGATTTCTCTGGCCCCGAACGCCTTCTCCAGCAGAATTGAGCTCGAGGAAGCGAAGATTGAGCGGACATCGGCGCCGATCGAGAGAATTTCGGGCTTCTCCAGGGACGGGACTGATTGCGGAGTTAAGCCGAGCATGTCGCGCGCGTTCTCGCTGTAGGCGATTACGGCGAAGGAAGCCTCGTCGACGGCGATCATGCAGCCGAACGGCTGGATGTGGCCCCCGCGCTGGATTTTGGAGAGGTACGCCGTGATTTGCTGCTCCGGGACGGACTGGTTCGTCGTCCTCACCGATTGAGAGTAGTCGAAAGACCTACCTGACTCGCCGGACCTCTCGAACACAGCGTGGAGCTGCGCGTCCACGGTGTACTGCGCAATCGCCTTGCTCACTGACTCCGCCGCCGCCGAAGACGCCTGAGGCGGCGGCGGCGGCGGCCTCAAGTTGCTTGTTCCCGATGACTGCGGCGGCTGCTGGTCGTAATTCTGGTTGCTGTGGTGGTAACGGTGGTTAGCAGCAGCTCCTGCTGATGGAGCTGAAGTTCCTCTGCTTCCAGACGCCATTTTTGCTTCTTTCTTCTGGAAGAAGAAGAAGAAGAAGGCGAGACGAGAGGGAGGAAGATTATATATTTATATATAAAATAGAAAATGGATTGTTTTCATTTCTTTTCTGCAGTGTTTGTGGCGAATGGAGGCGAAACTGAGAATTCTTTTTGTTATCTCAGTCACTCTCTCTCTCTACTTTTTTAGAGAGAAAAGCGAAAGGCAGCGGAAAGAGTGAAAAGAAAGCAGACCAGCTTTTTCAGCCCATTTTACTGCGGCGGTGAAAACGTTTTTACAGTATTTACTGGGACTGGGCTGGGAGGGAGGGAACTTCGTCGGCGTCGGCGCCGGAGAGAGAGGGAGATTCGGCCGGCGGCTGGGGTGGTAGGCCAGGTGGGCGGCAAAAGAACAAATTTTATTGGCTGGTGAGAGGGATCCATGTGGGTGGGAGGGATTGTTCTGTAAATTTGGGGGACCAAAATGAAAATTTGGAATTGGGAAACGTGGGAAATTCTTTTTTGTTTTTAACGTTATAGTGGGTGTGTTTATTGTTTTTTTGGGGGAATGCCCGCCATTACTTTAATTATGTTACTTGGATTTTGTTTTTGTTTGGCACCTTGATTTGAGCTTTAAAGCCAAACACACAATTAACATGCGCAAAGGTTGTGTGGTCAAATCGAAAATTGAGTCGTTAGTTTAGTGAGTTACCGTATTAGTATTATTTTACTAGAAGGATAGATTTACCACATGTAAAATGCGTATATTTAATGATATACATTTGTAGTAAGTATATTTTATTGTCTAGTATTGACCGCTGTGTTATCTTTGTACCTGACTTATTTTATTTGTTTTTTATTTGGTTTAAGTTCTTATTATTGATGTTAGGGATGACCATTTTGATCTAACCCATTTTACTTAATTTGTTTTATATGCTTTTGGGGTAATACTAGTCCTGTAAGTAGGGCTGGCTATTTGGACCGGGACCGGATGAAAAACCGGAAACCGGACCGTATAACCCGGACCGGGACCGGATAGTAAACAATCCAATCCAATCCAATCTTTGGGTTTAGATTTGAGGTAAAAACCCGGATAAGAGAGCTCAACACCCAAAACTTAAGGTTAATTTGCATAAACGGTCACAAACCTTTGCACTTAGTACAAAACTTAACCAACTCCTTACCCTTTTAGGCCTTAGGCCACTCAAATTCCCACAATCTCAATATAAAATCAAGACCGAATTGGGACCGGACCGGGTCAAGACCGGACTGTATCCAATCCAATCTTCGGTCCTTATATTTTCAAAAAAACCGGACTGGACCGGATCAATTTGGGCCAATTTAATCGGACCGGACCGTATAGCCACCCCTACCTGTAAGTAATCATTTTGATATGACCTGCTTTATTCACATTAGGAATGACAATAGGTCGGGTTGGGTCGGGGTAGGGGTGGCCAACGGAAAACGGGTATTTGAGTATACCCATACCCGTCCCTTTTTTGAGGGTTACGGGTACCCAAATACTCGTTTTATTTATTGCGGGATGGGATTTGGGATTGCAAATGTTAACATTGGGTACTCACGGGTAACCCGCTAATACCTGTTTGGGTAATATGGCAACCCGTTATACCCAAATACATTAGTCTAAATCTAAAATTGAAACCAGTTCCCAACGAACATTATACCCAATACACAAGAATTTAAGGGGACTATATACCCAATACACAACAGCTAAAGGGGACTAATGCATGAACTTGTGGGTTGTTATTGTCCCACACTAAAGTACTAATGCCGAACGTCTTTTGTGGTCAATGGACAGTAAGGGGACAAACAACTTATGCTTACGGGACAATTACAGTAGCTAAAATTTTATTATTTGTTGTTCAAACTCAACAGTAGCTTTATTTAGTTATTTTGTTTGTAATTTTATTATTTTGTTCCAAATACAATTTTGCCATGTTGAATGGGTATAAACGGGTAGTTTGGGTGCCCGTTATTCGTCCCGTACGGGTTAATGGGTACCCGTACGGGTTTGGGATATGGGATGAACTTTGATCTCCAATTGGGATTGGGTACCCGTTTCAAACGGGACGGGTACCCAATCCCGTCCCGTTTTCCACCCCTAGGTCGGGGTTTGCCAAACACAAACCTAAACCTAAGTCGAGGTAAAACTCACTGGGTTGTCTTGTGGTAGATCAACTTTGTTGCTATTTGACTTATCAAATATTAATTTATAGAGGTGTACTTTAAATAAATAAAAAATCCAATACTAAGATAAATAATACAAAAGGAATACTAGTTTACGAGATGCTACAAGATAAGATACTGAACATACATACATAATCAAACGGTTTTAGTTAAATTATGAGAAAATCATAAATACAAGTTATCTTAATATTCAAATTCGAATTTCGCTCATACTAATGATTTTTATCTTACTCACTCCATCGAATTCGAGCCGGGTAATCGTAATTTGTAAGTCCTAACTATAGATATTTTCCCATCCCTATGTGCTGGTCGAATTCGGGCGACTAACGTACCCAACAAAAATATCGTTGGGAGTTTGCAGAATAACATTATGAGATCCGGGGAGTGATATTGAGATTCGAGAGCCTTTTTTTAAAATAGAAAGTAGAGATTGAGAGAGTCCGAGTAGGGAGCTGCAGATTTCCAGTTTTTGTCTGGAAGCGCACGTGGACGTGGTAATGGGTTCAGGCCCGTGTGTGGGTCACAACATTACACAGCGTCCCAGCCCACGTGACTAAGCCCCCACTCTCCTCACCTTCACGTGCCTTGCCACCCTTTCTTTCTTTACTTTTATTTTGGCTTAATTGCAAGTTTGGTCACTCGAATTGCTATAAAATTTCACGTTTGCCACTCAAATTAATTTATTCAATTTATAGTCACTCGAATTAGTTGAACAGTTCAAGTTCAGTCACTCTCCGTTAACTTTGACTGACGTGGCGGTCAACTCTGACAGTTGACCGTTAAATGTGTGACGTGGCAAATAAAAAATAATTAAAAATTAAATTAAATTTTTAGAAATTACACATCATTATAAAAAAGAATTATAAAAAATGAAAAAAAGAAATTATTTTCTTCTAACTTGCAATTAAGCCAACGAATTGCAATTTGCAGAACACTATATCAATACAAGAAGATCAAGCACATGAACTTCTCTTCCAATTATTTTCTTCTAGTCGCCAAACACTAAAGATATCCCCCATGAGAAAAATCATGTGCAGAAGCTTAGAACCCAGAAGTATCCATTATAGTTGCCCACTAAAGATATCCTCTCTGAACTACCATGAACAACAAAAAATGACAGCACTGAAGCCACTAAAAAAGAAAAAGAGACCTGTAGGCATGAAAACCAATGAAAACCGAATGTGTACAGTAGCATATCATTCTTCAGCAAGCATCTGTGTACGGTCGGAGCCACCTCCGAGGGGCTAAAGGCAGGGCGACCCATCGCTTGGTGAATGGATTGCAGAGGAATAACGTTCGCCCCAGCTCGCTGCTGTTGTCGCTCCGGCTCGCGTTGAACCCGAGTAAGAGCAGGTCCCTGAAGCAATCAAGAATGTCGAAACGGAAACAGGCCTCGGCGTAGGCAGGGGAAGAAAAGTCGAGACCAGATCCGGGATGTTTGAGGGAGCCGGAAGCGCGATGGGTTCGGATTCGCCGGCGATGTGGTGAGAAACGAAACGGCGAGCGAAGTATGGAGTGGAGACGAGGGAGTTCCATTGCTTGCAGACGGGTTTGGATCGGAAGGCGGATTTTGTGTCCGGTAGACGAATGAGGAGTTCAATCAGGATGTGTAATTTTTTTCATTTTTTATAATTTTTTTATAATGATGTGTAATTTCCAAAAATTTAATTTTTATTTTTTAATTATTTTTTATTTGCCACGTCACACATTTAACGGTCAATTGTCAGAATTGACCGCCACGTCAGTCAAAGTTAACGGAGGTTAACGGAGAGTGACCGAACTTGAACTGTTCAACTAATTCGAATGACTATAAATGGAATAAATTAATTTGAGTGGCAAACGTGAAATTTTATAGCAATTCGAGTGACCAACTTGCAATTAAGCCCTTTTATTTTTCTTCCCGCGTTCAATGAACCAAATAACCCCAATCAATCGAATCCTCTTCTGGATAGGCATTGCTATAGCAGCAGCCTATGACTTGATCATATCTAGTGTGGTTTGATCTGATTTAAATATCGATTTGATTCGGTTCGGAACAAATTGTTGTATATAACGTTACCAACGACAGCAAACTAGATTTCTCAAGAACGAAATCGACATTTTCTGATTGAGAGAAAGAAAGAAAAAAACGAGAAAGCAAAAGGTTCGCAGATACACATTCCATATTGCTCCCCTCCCCTAACTTCCAATTATTTGTTCATGGACTAAAAAAGGTTCCTTTCCCTAATGGCAAAATCACAAATCGACTTTAAAAAAAAAGATACAGTTGACAAAATCAAATGGCAGGCTGCAGCAGACGATCGAAAACCGATAGCCCAACAGCAGATGATTTTGCAGACGACGACGCGTTAGAGAGGTTTTCGAATCTCCCCGGAAGCTTTGTTGGCCACGAGAACAGACTTTCAGCAGAGTTGCACCTCACTTTGTGTAGAGAACATCCTCCCATGGGTGGCGGTATAGGGGCTGTTTGAGTCTCTTCTGATCGAATGTGTGCCTGAGAAAAAAGAAATTTGAAAAAAACACAAAAGGTAGTTCTCTGTCAGTCGGGTGAAAGAAAGAAAGAGACGTCCACTAGCATTGGACTTTTTCTTCTTTGTCACGTAATGAGTCGTATGCATTATTTGAACACTGGACCCATCCCAATGTATTCTCGGACTATATAGCTTACCGTGCAAGCATCAAATGGTGGTGGGTCGCATCCGGTAGGGACCATATGCATCGATTTCACAGTCTCACAGATAGGGTTTGGTATGGGCATGGTAGGGCAAAAGCTAAAAATGAAGGCAAATTTGAGATCCGGTCACTTCGGGTTGCAAACGGGTTGGTCGGGTTGTGTCAAATCTCGACAATTCTACATGTTCAAAACTATCGAAATGTGCGAGTTGGGTCCAAGATTGGTGAATCAGGTTACGGAGCAATCGAGTCATGCTGTATGTGTGAAGGAAGGAAGCAGAGGTGGAATATAGGAAATGAAGACATGGGGACAGTAATGCAAAAAAAAAAAAACTCACCCGATGAGGCCAATGGAACGAGCCAAGACGAAGAGGCCGTTCAAGTATCCAATCTCGACGATCTCATCGATCTCTGGCTTGGTGAACATTCCGCTGCCAGCAAGGAGATCGAGGAAGAGGGATCCGATCGCGCCATCGACATTCATGACAAGGTTGTTGGCCTTAGTGAGAGTGTAGGTCTCGACCTGGACTGCATACTCCATGTACTTCACGGATGGGAAGTTCGTGCGCGCGAATTCCTGCAACAGCTCCACTCTCTTATCCCTGTTGTCGCTCTCTTTATCCTAAATTTATCAAACGGGAAGCGAAAAACATGGTTAATTAGATATGCCAATTTATAGCTCAAATCACTCAATCAATCATTGACCTGTAACATACATGCAATAACCCGACCAATGGAATGACCTAGTTCAAGCATGAAGAGTTTCAATCTGAACAGTTATCATACCTATGGCCGATTCCAGGAACGCGAATGCCCTTCTTTTTCATGCTTTCGACGAACTCATAGGGAGTGAGTCCCTGGAGAAGGAAAGGAATTGCAAAGAAATGATATTCAGTGGTCCATAAACCTCACATAGGCACTCTGACAAGAAATGAACATGAACTATCAATAAAATTAGCTTTACTCTGTCATAAGCATCCTTGAAGTATCGAGCAGCATCATCAATGGCGCCTCCGAATCGGGGACCAATTGTCAGCAAACCTGGTTCACAAAACATTAACTTAGTAGAGAGGTTGAGATATGAAAGAGTTTTTCACTCTCATTGTGTTGGTAATGTTACCGACTTTTTGACAATTTGTGGATTCAATATAAATATTTAGACATAACCTGTTTTTTTTTATTACTTCTCCAACTTAATTTCAACTTCCAGCCAATACTAATATTGTTAATAATCAATAGCCAGTTTACCTGAGACAAGGCTGGAAACAAGGTCCTTTCCAGCCCTTGCTGTTACAATGGTATTGTGAGCTCCTGAGACACAGGGACCGTGGTCGGCACACAACATGATACATATCTGGTAAAATCCAGAGTATTAAAAAAGTGCAAAATAGTTCTTCTTCCATACCTGTTAACAAATGGTGAAAAGAGATCGGATAATGGTTACTCTTAAATTATTGAAAATTACCTCAATAAATTTGGTACAGTAGCGTGGGAGACTGCGTTTGAACCATAAAAGAGAGATGATATCACCAACACCAAAACCCTGCTCGAGAATGGAAGACATTGGCACACCAGCATAGCATGGTTCCTCGCCTATAGTTCGATAGAAACACGAGATTATGATCAATCAGAAATTATCCTCCAATAAACTTCTCGCAGAAGTCTAGAATAAAAAGGCAAGTACCTCTGTCGTCAGAAATGGTTGAAATAATATGAGTTGGGGCGCGAACTTTGCCACTCTTGATTGCAGTGTTGAGATCCTCGGGGATTGGTGGGGGCGTGAACTCCTTAACCGATTCAATCTTCCCTTCTTCGACCTGGGAGGAAAGAAAATCGTCAATGTGGATGAAAGCAGTCATGGCAATCAGAACTTGGCATGATGCACCTCTCTTTTAGGGTTTTATTTGTTTAGTCCAAAACTGAAGTTCCCTAAATTTAAGTTTGCAAAGGGCATAATGCACCTTTCTCCATCTGAATATTTAGAACAACCATTCATAATGCACTCCACCAATTATTAAAAGTGAAAAGGCCACCTCTTCAATAAAAAATAGATTTCCAACTTTTCATCTTTAAAATAAGAATACTTTTTAATGATACACATAATAGTCATTTCCCAACCATCGAATCTCTCATTATCAACAAATTATCTATTATCCAGCAAGTCCTTTGTAATAACTAAAAAATATTTTAGATCTCGTCAACTCTTTCCAAAGAATTTAGAAAGAGCTGAATAGGTACTCTAAGCATATAGTACTAACCAGTTTGTCAAATGCCTCTTTAATTGAAGCTTCAAAAGCTTCAAATGAGGTAGGCACAACAGCTCCAGCATCTTTAAGAGCTTGATTCTTAGCTTGCGCAGACTCTAATTCACCACCACTTTTAGCACCCTGATTGAAACAATTTACCAAGATCAATCAAGTCTGAATCTTTGCTGTAGCAGTGGTTGATGCCACTTGTTAGAAATAAAAGGGGAAGATATTCTAGAGCAATACAACTTACAGCATGGCCAAATTGCACTTCTGACTTGAAAAGCCGGGCGCAAGTTCCACTGACCCAAGCAACAACTGGTTTGTTAACTTTGCCCTGTTTGATAGCTTCCACCAGAGAGTACTCATCTCGTCCACCAAGTTCTCCAAGTACCACTATCATCTTAACCTAAAGTTGTTTGGGAAGGCAGATAAAAATGGGTTACAATTGTAATTTTTTACCCAACAAAGCTACGTTGGTGTCCTTTCTTTTTCTCAGATTTACTGAGATGACTAAATAAAGTGTGCAGTATTGGCATACCTGAGGGATGTTGTTAAACCGCAACACATGATCAGAAAGAGTGGATCCAGGGAACACGTCTCCTCCAATTGCAATACCTACACAATTTTTCAAACAGGAGAACCTAATCACACCTGCAGCTATTATTTGAAAACACAAAAACCAGTCTATCATAACATAACGAGAATACCTTCATAAATTCCATCCGTTACACGAGCAATAGTATTGTAAAGCTCATTTGACATGCCACCCTGCAATTGTCACATCCACCAGCCTAAGATCTCGAGACAGAGCAATGCCATGCTGGCTTTAAGAAGACAGGAACTAGTGCATACCGATTTTGACACAAATCCAACAGACCCGGGTCTGTATAGCTTGCAAGCAATAATGTTGTCAATTGTTCCAGCAGTGTCACCAATCCTGAATGCTCCAGCTTGGATTCCCCCAACAGTAGCAGGACCGAGGACAACCTACGCAATCATTGGGATAGCATACTTTGGTAAAATCATATTGCAGAACAAAATAAGGTGCACTGAAGGGTTGCCCCATTGATTATAGTTCAATTTGAATCAAATCCAACGGAAATTCTACCTTATTGTTGGACCGTGCATATGCAATCAAATGCTTTGTGTCTGACTCGGGAACACCCTCAGCTATGATGGCCACAACTCGAATTGTTGGCTGTTTCAGAGCAGACATGGATGAAGCAGCGGCACTGCACATGTAAGAACACACATTCACTACAAAGCACAAATTATAGAAGCAACATTGTCCATTGAAAACTAAATTAACACAAACCTTCTGAATGAAGCGAAGTTAATAAATACATCAGCCATTGGGTGAGCAGCACAAGCCGCCTCAATGCTGCAGAAAAGTTCACAAAAATGTCAGAAAACTGAAACAACAGAAGAGTGAAATAATATTCCGTGAAGAACACTCAGGACAAGGACACTAAAGCTACATTGAATATGAGAAGGTAATGGTTACAGAAAACTTAATCTCATGTGATTACAGTAATCTGTTTCATTCATTGCTTCACCGTATGGGACGATTAACATTACAATTATGGCCCAGGCCATGAGAATCAACAATAGAGT